TCTTTTCTTTTAATTCATCTCTCTCTGCTTCTATTTGTCTCCTTTTGTCTCCTCTTGCCTCGTTTTGTTTATTATTTGTCTCCTTGCTGCCCCCTCACTGGTCTTACTATTTATTGTCTCCTCGCTTTCTTTCTCTGTCTCTCTTTGTTTCTTTTTTGTCTCCCTTTGCCCCCTGTTTATCTCCAGCTGGGTGTAGGACTCTTTTATTTGTCTCTCTTTATTTCCTATTTGTCTCTTGTTTGTGTCTCCTTGCATTTGTTTGCCTCTCACTTGTCTCTTATTTGCTTCTTGTATTTTACCGATCTCTTTTTATATCTTATTTGCCTCCTATCTGTCTCTGTTTTGTCTCTTGGTGTCTCTCACTTGTCTCCTTTTTGTCTCCTTTTGCTGTGTCTCCTTTACTGTCTCTTTGTGTCTTTTATTACTCTGTCTTTTTCTTTCTCTTATGTCTTTTATTTATTTGTCTCCTTCTGTCTCTTTACGTCTCCTTTGTCTTTCATATTTGCTGAACTTACATCATACTGTCTCTTACTGTCTCCTTTCTGTCTCTTTATTTGTCTCCTCTTGTCTCCTTATGTCTCCCTTTATCGCCATCTGTCTCCTTTTGTCATTATCTGTCTCCCTTACTGCCTGTATCTGTCTGCTTTACTGTCTCCATCTGTCTCTTTTTGTCTTTATCTGTCTCCTTTTGTCTCTACCTGTCTCCCTTACAGTCTTTATCTGTCTCCTTTTGCCTTTATCTGTCTCCTTTTTTCTTTATCTGTCTCCTTTTGTCTTTATCTGTCTCCTTTTATTTTAATTATGTTTGTCTCTACAGGAAGCTGCGAGTCATCCTATTGAGGTGTCTCACTGCCTCAGTCTCCTTTCTGGTTGTATACAGCCTCGAAGAGGAGACAGCAGAAAGGAGACAGGCAAAAATAGCACTACTTTTCATACAAACAAATATTCACAGCAAATACAGTCCCTCCTATCAAAGCTGCAGCAGAAAGCAGATACTTGCTCCGCCGATGCATCACCCAAAAGTACAGATTAGGGTTTAGGGTTTAGGGTTTAGGGTTTAGGGTTTGGAGGGGAGTGCTTACGGTTGAAGGTTTCGCGCTTACAGGGAGGGCATGTTACGAAGGGGAGAATGCCTTTGCTGCTGCTGTTGCTGCTGTTGCTGCTGTTGCTTTTGCTGCTGCTGCAGTTGCTGCTGTTGCTGCTGCTGTTTCTGCTGGTGATACGAATGACTCACGTTGTTGCTGCTGCCTAGTGAATCCGAGTGTTTGTTTTTTCTGCTGCTGCTGCTGCTGCTGTGTTTGCTGCTGCTGCTGGTCTGCTGCAGCACTGTTGATCCTGTTGAGTCTATTCTCTCGTTTGAGGCTGTCTCCTCCTGCTGCTCTTCTTTTTGTCTCCTTGAGCTGTCTGCCGCACTTCCTTTTATCGGAGGGGACAGCAAAAGATATAACAGCAACTTCGACAGTTCTCGCCGTCTTTCAGCAGCAGATAATGCAGTGTATAGACAACCAATACGCCATGCTGCTGCAGCAGCAGCAGCAGCAGCGGCAGCAGCAGCAGCAGCAGGAACTGCTGCTACCCTATTCAGCCTGGTGGCTGCTGCTGCTGCAGCGTCTACCGGCGGTCCTTGGGGAGTTTGCTGCTGTCTCCACATGTGGGTTGCTGCATGCAATTGTTTCAGTCTCTCGCTGCAGCAGCGAGCAGCAGCAGCAGCTGCTGCAGCAGCAGCAGACGTTTCGCTCTCTACTGGCGTCGCCCTCACAGCGGGAATACCAGCAGCAGCAGCTGCAGCAGCAGCAGCTGCTGCAGCAGCTTGTACATTTTCAAGACACGCAGCAGCAGCTGGGACTTCGACGGGCCTGGCAGCAGCACTATCTGCTGCTGCTGCAGCTGCTGCTGCAGGCAGCACCGCAAGCAATTGGGGGTGCCACAGCAGCACAGCTTTCAAACCTTGTGCATGTGGGTTAGCAGCAGCAGCAGCAACACCAGCAGCAGCGGCAGCAACACTGACAGGAGCAACAGCAGCAGGAATAACAATCACTAGCAGCAACAGCAGCAGCTCAGCCCGTTGCTGCACAAACTATCATCTCTGTGTTTTGCTGTCTTCTCAGGATGCGTCGCTGCTAGCAGCGGAGTGCGGGAGCCAGCTGCAGCAGCTGCAGCAACTGTATCATCACGCACATCAGCAGCAGCAGCAGCAGCAGCGGGCTCTGCTGATGGAGTTGCGGCAGCAGGTGTACGCGCTGCTGCAGGTAGCTCTTCGAGGCTCTGTAGTGCATGCAGATGCATTTTCAATTAGAGACATCACGCTGCTGCTGTCTTCCTTGGCGAGGCTATGCGAAGCACACGAATCAGGCCCAGCAGCAGCAGCAGCAGCAACAGCAACAGCTGCTGCTGCTGCTGCTGCACCCCCCAGCCTTGAGGGAGGGACTGTTGGGGACGGCTGCGAACCTGTGTCCTCTAGAGGGACAGGGGATCGAAAGGGAGGAGCAGCAGCAGCAGCAGCAGCTGCTGCTGCTGCTGCTGATCCTGCGGCGCGTTCTGCTGCAGCTGCATTTCGTGCTGCAGCAGCCGAGTCTTTGCCTGTGCTATACGTACACCTCAACCGCGTGCTGCAGCACTGCAGCAGCCAAGACGCTGTCTCCTTATTAGGTGCAATGCCTCGCTTGTGGCTATTAGAGTGTCTCTTTTCGCAGCCTGGGGAGCGTAAGCAGCAGCAGCAGCAGCAACTCGCTGCTGCTGCAGGTTTGCTGCGCGTCTCCACCAAGTGGGTGGCGTCCTGGGATCTCAAGCAGCTTGCTTCTGCTGCAGCAGATACCCACCGGCTTTGCTGCTGCGCCCCACAGCCGCTGCATGCAGCCTCGCAGCTGCTGCTGCTTCAAATTGCGCAGCAGTTGGCCTTGCGCCTTGCCCGGTGCCTGCAGCAGCAGCACCAGCAACAGCAGGAACAGCAGCAGCAGCAGCAGTTGCTGCTGCAGCAGCAGGAACGACGCCCGCTGCAGCAGCAGCAGGAGACAGATGTTGCTGCAGCAGAGCGTCTATTAGCAGAAGCTGCAGAGACAGGAGACACCCGGGCATGGAGACCTTCACACTTTGGGTGGACTGCTCAGGTGCGTCATGTTTCGAGGGTTTAGGGTTTAGGGTTTAGGGTTTAGGGTTAAGGACTGATGCGTCTTAGCAGCAGCTGAGCGTGTGGCTTTGGGGCCTTGCGAATGGGGGGAGATCCTATTGCTGCTGCTGTTGTTGTTGTTGCTGCTGCTGCTGTTGCTTTTTCTCTGCTGTTGCTGTTGCTGCTGCAGCAACTCGTGTCTCTTTGGGTGTCTCTGGTGTCTCTCCTCCCTCTAGCGGGGGGCCCCGAAGGCAGCAAGTGCAGGGGGCTTCTGTCGGTGCTTGAGGGTCTCTTTGTCTCCTTGCTGGGCCCCTCTTCTGCTGAGGAAGAGCAGCGGCTGCTGCTGCTGCAGCAGCAGCAGCAAGTGCAGCAGCTGCTGCAGCAACTCAGAAGCCTGCCGCCTCCACAAGACCCCAGCCTTAGTGCTACCTGCATCGTTAAAGGTCTTGCTGCTCTTGCTGGGGGAGGACTCCTGCCTCAGGGCCTTGCTGCTGCTGCTGCTGCTGCTGTTGCTGCACCTTCTGCTGCTGCTGCTGCTTCTGCTGCTGCTGCTCCTGCGTTGCCCCTGCTGCCGCTGCTGCTGGTGCGGTGCGAGCAGCAGTTGTCTCTCCTCAGCAGCAAAGACACCTTCACTCTCTGTCGAGCGCTGCTGCGCCTGTCTCCTTGCTTGTCTCCTCCTTCTTCTCGCAGCAACGGCAGTTGCAGCAGCAGCAGCAGCAACAACAGCAGCAGCAGCAGCAAGCGAGCTTTGGAGGAAGGCGCGCAGGCTGCCTTGCTCTCTTCTTTGTCTTCGCTTTTGCTGCAGCAGCAAACAGGTGAGCTTCAGGTGTCTCCTCACAGCCCGTAGGTTGCGCGTTCGACTCCCCCGTCTCCATTATATGTCTCCGTGTGCATCCCTGCAGCAGCTGCTCAGCAGCAGCAACAATAACAGCAGCAGCAACAGTAACGGCAGCAGCAGCAGCAGCAGCAGGGCAGCAAGAGTTGTGTGTGTGCATGGACTGCTGCAGCGTGGACCCCCTCTCAGTCTTTGCTGCTGCTCGATTGCTTCGCCCCTGCGGTGTCTGCGGATCTGCTGTCTCCAGAGGAGCAGCAGCAGCAGCAAGAGCAGCAGTTGCTCCTGCTGCAGCAGTTGCTAGAGGCTTTCTACACCCGCTGTCATTCGTACAGCGTGCCAGAGATAACGCGCTGTCTCCGGTGTCTCCTAGATCACCCACATGCTGCTGCTGCTGCTGCTGCTGCTGCTGCTGCAGCAGCAGCAGCAGGATCTGCAGCAGCAGCTTGTGGGGAGGAAGCCTCTGCTGCTGCTCATGCTGCTGCTGCTGCTTCAGGAGACAGGGCGTCTGGTGCAGCAGCAAACGGAGCAGCACTTTTTCTCAGTCAGGTGTCTTATCACCTGCGCTGGAAGCTGCAGTGCTGCTGCCCTTTTGCTGCTTTGGAGGCCCTTGAGGTGTACGTGCGGCTTGCCCCCCGAATGCGACAGCTGCAGCACGTGCCTCCGCTGCTGCTGCTGCAGCTGCAACTATCGATGCAGCGGGACACAGACGCAGAGTTGCCGCAGCAGCAGCAGCAACAACAACACGGTCAGCAGCAGCAACAACAACAACAAGATCAGCACAAGCAGCAGCAGGAGCAGCAGCAGCAAGATCAGCAGCAGCAGCAGCAGCAAGATCAGCGGCAACAGCGCGTTGGAGGAGTGTTCACGCAACAAAGTGTGCGGCTGCTGCAGCACGCAGCACCCCTGCTGCTGCAGCAGCTGCATGTGCTTGCTCCCCCAGATGGCGGCATTGCTGCTGCAGCAGCACTTGGCCGTCTGCTGCAGCTGTGGGCAGCAGCACAATACAGAGAAGAGGCGCTGCTGCTCCGTGTGCTGCAGCAGCTGTCTCTTGTCCTGCAGGGAGGGGACCCCTCAAGCGACAAAGTAGACACAAGAAGCACCCCAGCTGCAGCAGCTACAGCAGATGCAGCAGCAGCAGCAGCAAGTTGCGCATCAGGAACCGCTGTGCTGCAGCACCTACCGCTAGAAACAGCCGCTGCTGCTGCTTCTGCTGCTGCTCGTCTGGGGTGTACGTGCAGCTCTGCGATTCCCGAGGTGACAGCAGCAGCGTGTAAGGTGTTGCAGCTGTTGTTTGCTTCACTGGAATACCAGCAGCAAAAGCCACTGAAACAGCAGCAACAGCAGCAGCACAAGCAGCAGCAGCAACTGCAGCAGCTCTTGCAGATGGCTGCTGCCCTTTGCCTCTGGTGCTGCGATCCAGCAGCACGCGTGCAGCAGCAAAAAGCTGCTGACTCCCTCCTCCCCCTATTTAAACCCCACTTAAGTTCTTTGTCTCTTATCCTTAACCCCGGAAACGGCAGCAGCAGCAGCAGCAGCAGCAACAGCAGCAGCAGCAGCAACAGCAGCAAGGTGCTGAGGATAATGGCCTTCTGCCTACGGAAGCTGCTCGGGTTGGAGGAGAAAGTGCTGCTGCCTGCTGCGCAGGAGGTGTGGGCTGTGCTGCAGCAGCAACAGCAGCAGCAACTGCAGCAGCAGAAGCAACAGGAGACACTAGAAGGCCACGAGCTGGTGTCTGCATTAGCACAGAAGAGCAGCAGAAAAGCAGCAGTGCATGCGCAGATTGCTGCAACACTCCGTTTTCTGAAAGACCCCCAAGGGACTCAACTGCGGCTTCGAGGCCCTGTTTGTGTGGGGCCATACTCGATCACAGTTGCTGTTGGAGACGATCCCGGGATCGTCTCCGATCCCGGGATCGGAGACGATCCCGGCATTGCCGTGGAGGTGAGGCTTTTTCCGGGAGTCCCCACAGGAGCTGCTAGATGTCTTTGCACCGTTTCAATGCAGGTGCTGCGGGGGGTCCTGAGACGCGAGCATCTTGCTGCTGCTGCTGCTACTGCTGTTGCTGCTGTTGCTGCTGCTGCTGCTGCTGCTGTTGCTGCTGTTGCTGCTGCTGCTGCTGCTGCAGGTGTGTTGGCCTTCCGACTTCTTCCGCGATGCATCGGGATCCTTAACTGGATCGCTCGTTCCCTGGAAGGCCTTAAGGCAGCTTCTACTGCAGACGCTGGGGTGGGTGTGCTGATTCTGCTGCTGATGCTGCTTTTGCTGCAGCTGCTGTTGCTTTTGCTGCTGCTGCTTTTGCTGCTGCTGCTTTTGATGCTGCTGCTACTGGAGGTCTGCTTTCGTCATTCTTTTCCCTCGCGGGATTAGTGTTTAATGTTTAGGGTTTAGGATTGAGGGCTTGGGGTTTAGGGGTTAGGGTTTAGGGTTTGGGCGGGGTGTCTGTACAGGTGGAAGCTGCTGCTGGTGACAGCAGCAGAGTGGGAGTCTCTTGGAGACAGCCGCAGCAGCAGAGAGCGTTTACTGTCTGATCGTCTCTCCGCACTCTACGGTGCATACTCAACTCACCGGACCCTAAACCCTAATTGCAAAAACCCTAAACCCTAGGCCGCACAAGCAGCAGCCTTCACTTCATTAAGAAGGATACTCTCCCGCTGCTGCTGTCTCCTTGAAGGAGGGCCCCCCTAGGGGCCCCTTCTAACTGCTCTCAGGAGCCATAGGGGCCTCCGGTGCCGTGGAGACCCCGCGAAAACCCTTGGGGTCTGGATATAGGGTTTAGGGTTTAGGGTTTAGGGTTTAGGGTTTGGGGTTAAGGCACTGGCCATAGGGCCCCAAAGGGCCCTTGGGAACATGCATAAGAAACAGTTTTTTTTTGTTTTTTCTGTCTCCTCAATACCCTTAATTGCATTTAAACTCTCTATAGACGACTCACTAACCTTCAGCTAAATATATCAGGGGGCCCCCAGGAGGGCCCCCAGTGGGGCCCCACACACTCGCAGACACCTGAGAGGACCCCGGCAGATTTTGAAGGGCCCTCAGGGCCCCTAATACGGCCCTGTTCTGCTGCTAAAAGGAGACACCTGAGGAGACACTTCTTGGCTAGGCAGCACGGGGACTCGATCTCCCACTGAAGGTTAACTGCTGCACTTTTGCACATTAATACCGGTGAATATATATATATATATATATATATATATACATAAGTACAGGTTTATATATATATATATATATACATACATAAATACATGTTTATATATATATATATATATATATATATTTACATGTTTATATATATATATATTTCTAGCTATTATTATTATTATTATATTTTCTTATATTGTTGCATCAATTTATATTATCATAGCATAGCAGATCGGTATAAGCAGCAGATAGCAAATATACATAATATATTATGCGCATGTATATACGTATGTCTGTATATATACGTAGACAACCATAAGCATGCATGCCTGCCTATATATATATATATATTTATATGTATATATATATATATATATTTATATGTATATATATACATATATATTTATATACTCGTGTATAGGCACATGCAGATCTATATATATATTTATAAAATATATGTATAAATATAATATATATATACATATATATATATTTACATATATATACATATATATACATATATATATAAACACATATTACGAGGGCGTTTATAGCTGGCTGTCTTTGTCTATCTGTGTACAAATACAGAAGAGGAAATAATTAGCTAAGAATGTAAACAGCAAATAAATCTATGCTTACGTAGCATAAATGTACATATATATATATATATATATATATATATAAGCATATTCATATATATATATATATATGCATATATATATACGTAGGTATGCATGTAATCGTCTACACGTGTATATACTCATACGCATATATGTGTATATTTATATTTGTATATATACTTATATGTAAATATAGCTCAATACTCTTTATATATATATATATATATATATATATATATATATATA